GTCGGTACTTGCACGCTAGCTGCCTAGCTTCTTCCGCGTTATGCAAGACTGTAGCTGACATGCGAGAGCTTGTTCGAGTTCTCCTCAGCTCCGGAGAGGTAGCTTCATGCTCATTCAGGCTGGAAGCCAAGAACCGCTCAAGTTGAGCCAGGCCATGATGGCAAGGAGTCCCTTGAATCGTGTTGCTGCCATGCTACCGGACCCCGCTCCTCGGCGACGATGGTTTGGGCATTTACCCCGTATTGTCCAGTCAGGTACGGCCCAAAGGCGACTAGCTGTCGCCTGAGAGCTGAGGTGTTGACCTGTCTTGTCACCCTTGCGGTTCTCCCGTTTTCTCCGCTTTTCCTGGAGGTTGGTCGTGTACGCAAGCTTGTAAGCGTGAGGGTCTGCAGCATAGGGATGCCCTGCGCTTGGCATCCTAAGTACTGCCGCCTAAACTGCCTAAACGCTGCATATCCTGTAAGCCCTCTGAACCCTTGAGTAACCGCATGTTTCAGAGGGGCCGCTCGGGCAGGGCTGCTTCGGCATGCTCCGCGAGATTAACGATGCCCTGCCGGCGGTCGAAGTACAGGCGGTGCCTCACATTCCACGATGCCATGTATGGGCCGAATGTCCAAAAATTGGCTTACGCTCTTAGGACGTGAGGCTTACCTCTGGACAGCTGCATTTGCGTGTTAATCATGTTCATTTTGTGTTAGCCATGCTTACAATTTAGGATTGTTTGGACCCACAACACAACCTGAAAAAACGCTCGCGCATCTGGTCCAACTACCTCCCATTCCCTTTGAATCCGAGTCAGTTGCCTCTGGCAAAAAGCAAGCAGGATGGGGGACTGGGACTGAAGAGTCTCACCCTCTGCCTTCTGTCTGTGGGCCCTGTGGCATTCTTGTCGCGGAGATCATCCCTGGAGCTGCTTTGGCCGGAAGGGCACAGGGTTTTGGGAAGTTTTGGGGCCTGAAATAAGTCAGCAACGATTTCATGCTCAGGGTTCTGTCGAAAAGTGCAAAACATGTAGAGAGGTAGGTGGCTACCGAGCCTCGGCGTTGCTTCCAAACGCGTGCTCCAGGTACCTGTTGCATGTATGCCACCCCGTGCGTGTTTGCCGTGGCGAAACCAAGGCATGGGCAGCGCCCCCTCAAATACGATACGAGGCCTTCCCGGTAAGATGCCGGGGATCGGAGCAACGAGACCCTTCGTGGCCGATACAATCCTTAGGACGTGATCAGCCCTCCTCTTCTCACGCCGCCAAGCGGATTTTCACGTGGGCACGCACAGATGACGTATACGAAGAAAACCGTCATTGACAATACATCTATTTATTATCTTTATGAATTTTCCAAATCAATTATGAAAGATATTAATTTAATAATATGGGCGTGGTCGGGCGTAGGGTTGGGGTTTAGGGTTAAGCCTAAATCCTAAAACCCTAATCCCTAAAAGCCTAAACCCTAAAACCCTAAAACCCAAAACCCTAAATCCGACCACGCCGGACCCCAAACCCGAAAATAATTGGGTTTCATATAGAATAAATTTCATAAGATATTTATAGATAAGTATTTGATTCATATTTAATTTTCTAATTATATTAATTTTTCATAAAAATGAATGATTTCGATATTTTGATTATTTTCTTTAAATTATATTATTATACGAAATTTCTTGTTTCTAAGTTTAGAGCCTAGATACGAAAATATTGATATTTCTTTAGATTTTTTAATAAAATGATGAATTTTTCCAATTTAAATTTGTATAATTAAATGGCTTATAGTAAGAACACAATCGTATAATAATAAATTGAAGCATCGTGCAATACTTAAATATTATAATAATATTAATAATATAAATAATTATTCATGAAATCTCTAAATTCTGGGCGGATATTGGCGGCACTATCTCGAAATAAACAACAATTTTATTAGAAAGATCTACAAATTATGGGCGGATATTGATATTATAAATTTCTAATGATTATAGTTTCTCTATGAAATTCAAATTGTTATAATAAAAATTAATTTGAGGGGGAGGTATTAGCATTATAAATTTATAGTATCTCGTTAGTATATTAAATTTTCCACTTTAAAGATAGATAAATTATGGGTGGATATTGGTGATGCAAATTTAGATTGATTATAATGATTTTATATATAATATTTAAAGTTTTCTCCATATATAGATTCAGAAATTAGAGATAACCTTTGGCGTTATAAATTTATAGTAATTCTCTAAAAAATACGAAGGTTTTTCTCTATAAAAGATATCTAAAATATGGGAGGATATTGACATTACAAATTTATAAGATCTCTATAGTATATGCAATTATTTCTCTATAAAGAAAAAAAAGATGGATGTCGTTGGTATTATAAATTTTCAATATCTTTAAAATATATATAATTCGAATGGAAAAAACGATTTGAAAAAATATTTTTTAAAAATATTTTCAAGAACAGTTGTTCTGCTATTTTTTGATTGATTTATTTCTATTTTCTATTCATTGGTTTCTCTATTAAAAGTCAAATATTTAAAAGCGGATATTCAAAGTTAATAGGAAAAATTGTTAATTATTCCTGATTATTATTATTATCATATTATAATAAATTAAGATTATAATCTTAATTTTGCTTCGAAATCTTTGGTAATATCTAGACGAAAGATCATGGAATTGAAGCTGCCTTGAACCTCGTCTTAATATTTACCTTCAGATCTTAATATTTCTCTATCTCAATTCTCACTTGAAAAAAAAAACTCAATCTTGACTTCAATTCCTTGCTAATATCCAAGCGACCAAACGAAAGATCATAATCTAAGATCTATCCGGAAAAATCATAATTCTATCTTGAGCTCTTTGATTTTATCCAATCGAATGATACCGAGCTGAACCTTTATTTGAATATCGTCTCTCTTTTTGAATCTCAGGCTAAATCTAAACGAAAGATTGTAGTCTTGGATCTTTTATATTAAATCCGAATGAAATATCATAATCCAAAATCTAATCGAAAAAATCATAGTCGATTTTTTACTTATATTCAATCTCAAAATCATAATCTTGAATTGAATTTGAATATTATTTTAATATTCAATTATCAGATATTTCATATCTAAATATGATTTTAATTAATATTATGAAAATACTGATAAATATAGTTTCAAAAAATTTTTTCAAGAATAATTTTAAAAAGATAAATTGGGAAACAAATATATCTAATTTCATTCGAAAGCTAAAAATTGTTCTGAAAATTTGTTTTTGGAAAAAAAAAAATCAGAACTGGGTGGCCTTTGACCTCAGATTTATGATCTCTGTCTTCTGGTCTCTGGCTCTTATCTGGCCTTTGATTTCGGATTTACGATCTCTGCCTTCTGATCTCTGGCTCTTATTTGGTCTTTAACTTCGGATTTATGATTTCTGTCTTCTAATCTCTGGCTCTTATCTGGCTTTTGACTTCGGATTTATGATCTCTGCCTTCTGGTCTCTGGCTCTTATTTGGCCTTTGACTTCGGATTTGTGATCTCTAGCTTCTGATCTCTGGCTCTTATCTGGCCTTTGACTTCGGATTTCTGATCTCTGCCTTCTGGTCTCTAGCTCTTATTTTGCCTTTGACTTCGGATTTGTGATCTCTAGCTTCTAGTCTCTAGCTCTTACTCGGTCTTGTATTCTGGTTTATTGCCTCGGGGATTGTCTCGAGCTTTGAATATCCGGTTTAAAATATTTGGTTTTTTGCAGAAAAATCAATGAGTAGAAAAGAGAAATAAATCAACCAAACAAATATAGAACAACTATTCTTAATTTATTTTCAGAAATTTTTTTCCATTCGAATCGATATAGATATTAAAAAAGGCAATTTTTCAATTTCTGATTTTTTAAATTATCTCTTAATTTTCTTATTTCAAGTCTTCTTATTTCGAAGCGCTCAATAGAATTGTCGATCTTATATTAATCTCGATTTACTTTCTTAATTTCCATTATCTTTATCTACTATTCAAACAATCTCGGGCTATTATCTATATTTAAACCGATAGCGCTCATTTTTGCATTTCTCTTATTCTCGATTTCTTTTCTTATCGAAATCTCTTTCTTTTTTTTATCTCTTTCAATATATCACCATATTTAAAATAAATAATCTTAAATTTCACATCTCTTTTTATTTAAACTATCCTAAATTCCATAGTACAATTCTTATTATCTAAATTCTTATCTTCATATCACCTTCTCAATATAAATCTCTTAATTTATATTCACCTCGCTATTAACTTACTAATAATATAATGTCAATTCCGAACCCTAAATTTATATTCTTTTTATTTAAAGTATTATATTTATATAGATTTTTCGAATCCTTCTTAATTTTATTCTCCACTAATCTTCGAACAAATTTCCTAGAATATATATCTCTTTATTCATACCTTGAAATCATTCTATCTTCTTAACACAAAATTACCAAGAATAATAGAATTATTCTGAAACACTCCGAATCGTAATAAAACCAACCACAGAGAGAGACTAAGAAATAAATTAAGATATAAATAAAGAATCAAGAGAAATATCGAAATATTCCCTCAAAGAAAATCGAAAATCAATCAAATAGAATAAAAGAGAAATCGAAGAGAAGAAAAAAGAAATAAGACAATGAGGGCGAGAACTAAATAACAATAAGAAGCGATCCAACCAAAATTTTTCTTAAAGAGATACTCAATCGTAATATCCAAATTTCTATGAATTTTTAGTATATTTTTCTGAGAGCGCTAAATAATTTATATTACCATCATAGATATTTACCCATTCATTCTCGTTTGGGATATATGATTGAAACCTATAAATATCAAGAAGAACATCACTGCCCATTCTAGATTCGGAATCATCGTGATTTGTTTATTCATCTCGCCTCCGCCGCCCGTCCTCTATCAAACACACCGTCATTTGTTTACAAGGGGTATAGCAAACTCAAAAAGGCATCGCCGCGAAGAGTTACCGAAAGTGATCATCACAGGTTCCTACGGAAGCGGGCTCATGGATGCACCATCCAGGTGGTAAGCACCCCAGTGACGAAGGAGATGCCGAAGCAGAGTCCTGCTGCCGGGAGCCTCGGAGTTAAGGCACGATTTGGGATACTCTAGTAACTAGTAATCACTCTGCAAATCACATGAAATGACATGGTGTGATCTTATACAACACTGTATGATCATGTGATGTAATATGTGATTGAACATTCTATGTTGTGCTAGATTACATCATATTAACTACAGTGAATATACCGTATGGTTAGAGTGTTCTGAATCCCAGGAACCTAGCTTCAGGGTTTCTTGTTTCGCCTTGGCAGCTTCTGATAGACATCGGATCTTGCTCCTGTAGTTGGTGGATTTCGCTGTTGTTCTTACGGGCTTTTCTTCAAGGGGCGTGTTCACGTCCATCCAGACTGTCCAGCAGGTTCCGTTGAAGATTGGCCTGGTCAAGCAGCTGAGGGTTTGTGTGATGGGCCGCCAGGCTAGCGTCCGTGCCGGAAGAACCCCTCGATGAAGTCACTGTGCCTATGTCGCAGTATTGAAGTTGGCCCTTGGGTAGGGAGTCGCAAACCTAAGCCGTATACACGTCGAGATGCAGGGCAACAACAACAGCACTCTATACTCTCCGCGGCTACCACGACATATTGCTCTCCACCCTACCAAATCCAGGTAAGGCCCTAGAGTACTGGGCTCGCTTGTTGAGCTCCTACATGTGACAATGGCATCGACCCCCCGCGAAAGCCCCGTCGGATGCTCTTTACATTTAGGCCTTGGCATGAATTAAACCCGCATCTAGGTTCCTCGGTAGCCCTTTGCAGTAGACAGGATTCCCTTGCTCCTTGAGGCCTTTGTTTGCGGAGCAGGCTTTGCACGTCCTAGTCACCCCAAAATCCCAGTATCCTCCGCCAGGACGCCATATATATGTATATATATATAC